TTCTATCATAAATTACTCAGTGGACCCCAGAATGGTTCCAGTCATCTAGGTAACAGTCTTCTTTTAATGTACCCTGAGTGCAAATCTACTTCTCTTCTTAATTCACCTCGTGTTGGCATGTCTCTAAGTGATTGAAACGTTAAAAGAAATATCACAATTTGCTGCACTTCAACAAAAAAATTACACCCATGCAGTTTTTGATTCTTTTTAGGAACTAATGGCGTGAAACAGCAATACAGCCACGGTTGTGTTTAAGACCATCATGAGTCTAACGAATGTACCAAAGTCATTTCCAGGATAGTTTCAATTTAAAACAACGTTTCGAACATGTAATCGAGTCCGGAGTCGTGAGATCCTGATGGCAGTGAGCTTGGCGGGCGGCGCCCGGCAGGTGCCCGCTAGCAGACGATGGTGGCCCCCATGCTGCTGGGCCGCTTGTGCCTGGGCGGCGGCGCTGGCGGGCCGGGCGGCAGCACCGCGGCACCGACGGCGCCCTTGGTGTTTCGCCTTCGCGCCGCGAGCCAGCCCTTGACGCGGTCGCCCGCGTGGTAGAAGTAGAGGTACATGAGGGAGAAGACGGTGGCGGAGCCGGCCAGGGCGCACAGCGCGATGAGGAGCACGAACAGGCCCGAGCCCGAGTCGTGCGACTTGGGCGCCGGGGTGCCGTCCACGGGCGTGTCCACGTCGACGTCCTCGGGGGCCAGGGGGGTGTCGTCGGCCTCGCCCGCCGAGTTGACGATGACCACGTCGGCGCAGGCGCGGAACTCCTCCTGGGGCCCGCAGCCGACGGCGCCCGTGCCGTTGGCGCACATGCCCCAGTTGTTGCCCGCGATGTAGCGCCACTGCAGCACGCAGTGCTTGCACGTGAACTGTGGCGGCAGCCGGTACTTGGACGCGAACACCTTGTTGCCCGGGCCCGGGTAGTAGCGCGACGCGTGGGGCTCGCCCTCGCCGCCCTCGCCCTCCACCCCGCGGTCCGGCCGGTCGGCGCGCTGCAGCACGTGTCGGTCCAGGCACTCCTGCGGGCGGAAAACCAAAGGCACGAGTCAGATTTGGTTCACGAGCAGCGCGAGCCGATCAGTGGCGGTCGTGGCTGTATACTGTAAATCCGGGATGTCGAGCAGGTAGCCGACAATGTCGCCTGACCCGCAAAACTAGGCGACTAGGGATCGTCCAAAAAGTTCGTCTGTTTTTCACAGGTTCATTCGGCAAATTATGAGAGCTCGGCGCCTGCGAGACTCCGGGTAGGCCACCCCGCAGTACGCCCATGCTCAGCAGGCGAGGTGTTGCCTACCTACCAGGCGTTTGGAGCACCCCTCGAGGCTGGCCTTGGAAGGTTAGTAACGGTAAATGGCGGACGTACTTTGTGGATGATCCGACTATCTGCTGGACACCTTCTGTTCTTCCGGGTAATTGCATCTTATGAGTCCATAGGCATTCCACCCATTGTGCCCATGCAATAGATGGTTCCGGCAGTGCCCGTTTAAAGAAGAATTAATGAAATCACTACCGGAAACAGTTCTAAAATAATGGCTTAAATCAGTGAAAACTAGAATTGACAGTTACTAGAGATTTAAACGAGGTCATTCAAGTTGAACTGCACTGTCAAATGACAAAAATAAGCGCACTTCAGGTACTGGTTCCGGTCCCGACTTCTTCATTTCTTCTCAAAAAGCGCACTGTCGGAACGGTCTATTGACCGGAAGACCAGAAGGTGTCCAGCAGATAGTCGACATAAGTCGCCTATTTTTTTTTCGGGTCATTCGGACTTTGTCGCCTACCCACTGGACACCCCGGATTGACAGTGTACTCACCTGCGTGGCGTCCTGCCGCGGGTCGTTGACGGGGCACAGGCGGAACTCGAAGTACCCCCTGTGGTTGGCGGTGAGCTCGATGCGGATGGTGATGGCCGTGCCCGTCAGGTACTTGCGCACCAGGGTGCCGGTGCCGTACTTGCCGCCCGCCTCGTGGAGCCGCGGCTGCAGGAGCAAAAGAGAGTCGTTAACTTTACTGTCGTAACTCGCATCGGCGAGGTGGTCCCATGCTGCCCTACATACTGTGAGCGGAGGCCTGGTTGCATCGAAAGCGAATTGACGCGTTAGACATTGTATTTTGCCAACATCGATAAGGACATGTACTGACCAGGAGACTAGTTGACCCGGCGGCTAGCTAAAGCACCACAACCCTCTTGAACAATTAATTGGAATCAAACGGAAAGGCTGCTTCGAAAGTGAAAACGCGATCGAAGGGGGGCGGAAATCAGAAGTGCCATTCCAGTCGAGCGGTCATGAGTTCTCAGGCCGGCCGGTCTGGCGGAACGGGGCGTGGCGTGGCGGGGGAGTGACCGGCCAGGACCGGCGACTCGGCTCTGCCCCGTCAGCCAGCCGGTGTTACGTGCTAATCAAACATGCGCGCCGACAGCGGCGGTGGCAGCGGCGTAGTCAACAGGGATCTGTGAAGGCAAACTATACTTCATACTCTTGGACTTTGGTTGAGCGCTTTTTCAATTCGTAGAAAAGGCTTTTAATAAAGTTACAAAACCCCGTCCAGCAGCCTTTTAACACATTGCCGAAGTACGAACGTGCATGTTTCTGGGTGGTGGGTGCGTGTGCGACCACAGAGGTTGAAAACGCCTCAAGCTCGCGGTTCGATGGCATGGTCCAGCCGTAGTCCGGGGAGGCGTGCATGCGCATGCCTAGCAGCACCCGCACCCGGCGCACCGTGGCGCGCCTCCGCCCCCCTGTGTGTGTGTGTGTGCGCGCGCGACCGGACACGGCCCTGAGATAGCAGCCGGCGCCTAGCTTTTGCTATTATTGGACACTTTCTAAGCCTTTCTAGCCTTTCATTTTACTGCCCCATAAAGCTTAGTTGCAGCAGCAGCAGCAGCGCTGGCTGCGGTCGCTCGCCCCGCGGGCCTGTTTATCAGCGAGTAGGAGGGGGGCGGGGGTAACGCACGCCCACGCAGCACACGCCCGGGGGGCAACACTACCATGGCGATCGTTACCGTCGCGGTACCGATAAACTGGGACATCCCCAATAGGACGCGATGGAGGTCACGCTGCTGTGCTTTTATAGGAGGAGGAGAGAGTTCGTCGCCCTCATCGCGTCAGAGACTCGTAATCACCACCCGCTATGCCCTGTCGCCCAGCACGCGGCCAGACGACTCGCGGTTACAAACTTGACGCGGGGCTTTTATATCTGTTTGGTTTGTGTGTCTTTTTTTCTATTTCGTTTTTCACGGCGCCGACAAGACTCACCTGGGGCGTGTCCCACGGGTCGCCGCAGACGCCGCACCTGCCCTTGTTGCGCTGCCACTGCCTGCTGAAGCCGCCGCAGTAGAGCTCGTGGTCGTTGTAGTCGGGCGGCGTGTCGAAGCCGTACCTGGAGGCAGAGCGCAGCCGGACGGTGAGAGAGGAGGATGAGGAGGAGGTCACGGCGCGGTCAGGTCACAACAACGACATCATCAGCATCTATACCCGTCGCAGCCCTGGCCGGGAGGGAAGTATAGTGAGCTGCTCGTGATTTCATTATTTGCCGCCGGCGCGGTCGAGTTCGCGCGCAGGTTGTGACCTTACAGTCGAAGGTGTAGGCCAGGCTGCAGCAATGTGCGGGAGCGGTGCCGGTGTATCGGCACGGCTAGGAATTTTGATTTTCCAAAAGAAAATGTTTGGGAAATTCTTTTATTCCAGTCTCTTAATTTTTCGTGAAAACTTTTATTTTATTCTT